TATATATATATATATAAACAGTAGTCAACATTTGAAGTGGTTCAAAATCTTTCATCAAAGTTGTCCTAAAACCTAAAACCAAAATGCGTTCTTGTCTTAGAACAACTTTAATGAACATTTTTGATCCACTTCAAATGTTGACTACTGTATACATACATATATATATATGTATGTATGTATATAAAACAGAGATATGAACATATTTCTATAAGAAAATTATAATAAATATAATATATATTTATAAAATGTAATAAAATATAAATATAAAAAATATAAATGTAATAATCGCAATTTTTTTATTTAATTGTGCATATAATATAGTGATATACTAATTTCTTCATTTTTTTCTGTGTATGTGTGTAGCGTCTGTGAGGAATCAGGCCCCTGCACCTGAACCTCTGGTTGTCCCGAGTCAGCCCTGCACTACAGCTGAGCTACAGAAGACAGAGGCGCTGATCAAAGAAGAAGAGCCGCCGAGCATAAACCCACCGACGGCCCACGTTCGGCCCACACACCCACTCAAGAGCTTCGCCGTGCCAACCGTCACTGTTTCCGCCCATAACCCACCCACCTATGAGACCGCATTACCCAGCACCCCTCTGCTGGCACAGCCAGGTCTGTTTCCTGGTTATTCAGTCCTAAATAACATGCATACCAAAACATGAATGTGGTTGGTTGTGGAGCTCATAGCATGTTACTCTGTGTTTCAGTGCCCGGCGTGAAGACAGCGTCTATCGGGACGTTAAATCGAGCTCGAGCTCTGATGGCAGTAACAGTCCCCAGTGCCCCTGACCAATCAGAAACCAGCACGATGCTGGACACGGTGAGAGCTGGAGACACGCCTCACTTCCTGTAATGTGTTTCTGTGCAGGCTTCATTATCAAACATGTCTCCTTCACATCAGTGCCATTTTAGTATTATTCATATGCTATTATAGTTTTTATTCATATTTTGAATCAGCCCTTAGTTGTTTTGTATTTTGAGTTTTTATTTTAATGTTAGGTTCATTTTTTAGTAATTCTATGTGCTTTTGTATTTAGTATTTATATGTATTACCAATTAGATGTATTTATTTCAGTTTTAGCTTTAGTTCAGTTTTATTTTAGTGCTTCAGGTTAAACACTCCAATTTCAGTTTCTCATTTCTATTTAGTTTAAGCTTTTCACCTAATATTTATATTTTATTACATTTTATTTCACTTTCGTTTGAGTTCAAATGTTTTGAATAGTTTTAGTTTTAGCTAACAATAATCACCCTGGTTCACGTTTCGCCCAAAAATCAAAGGACGGTAATAAGAAATTTAGCTTAAAGCAAATGAAGCCTGTTTCTAGGACCAGCAAGATTTTTTTGCATTATGACTTTATTTTCATGACAAATAAGCAGTTTATTAATTTAATACTTAATAAATAGACTATTAATAGACCGTCTTTAACCCTCTGGGGTCTGAGGGGGTTTTGAGGCCCTGGCATGCCCTGACATTTGTGCTTTTTTCAGTATCTTAAAAACATATTAATGGCTAATAAGTCTGATTCAGCACAAACTGGGCTACAATAATATGAGCAGCATAAATGTATGTTTGTGTTTTTGAGAAATTTTTAGTGAAAAAATACAATTTCTCATTATTTTATGCAATAAAAGATCTCAGTTCTCAATGTGATTTTCTAATATATATATATATATATATATAGTGGTCCATATATATTTGCAAACTTTATCAATTTTCATTAACATTTCATTTTTTGTTTTAAAACATTCATAGGAAATGTAGTAAAATTTCTACTTTAAAAAAAAAATGTAATGTGTATTTTTAAATTTTTCGAAAGAAGTGTCATCTATTATATGAAAGTTTGAATGTGTGTTTAATTTTTTTTATTATTGTTATTTCTCCTATTTCTTCTCTTTTTACTCGCTGGTTGGCTTAATTTTGAATGGTTTTGTCTTTCTGTGTCTAATTTTGTATAACGAATAACTCCAAAAAATTCATTTTTAATTTGTGCTACGCTTCTGAAATGCATGCGTTTTTTGTTTGTTTTGTTGTAGGTTGCGCTGTAGCGTCTTGCTTTATACTCTCACTCTCATCAAACCTGATACCCTCACTCTTGTTCCTCTAGCTTTTCCTCTCTGCTTTTGTTTTTTTGGCTCTTTTTTCCCCTCCGTTATCTTGCATCCCTCAATCCTAACTCTAACACGGCTCTTGTGGCATGGCTCTCTCTCTCAGACGTATGAGACAGATGAACTCTCAGAGGAAATGGCCCACCTGGAGGGTCTGATGAAGGACCTGAACGCCATCACCACAGACTGAACCACTGCAATCACTCACGGCTGAACCGCGTCCTCAGGAACAACCGGGACATTTGAATGAACGCTGATCTCAGATCAGCCTTGAGAATGACTGAAAACAGATCACCGCTTCATCTTCTCCATCCTGCATGGCAGAGAATCTGTAAAACGATGAAAACTCAATGCCATTTTCTCAACTCGCACAGAATTTTTTTTTTAATGTTTTTTTTTGGAGGGTTGTATTTACGTATTCTATATTTTTAGCCTGTATATGTATGTTTTCATTGTGTGCAAGGTCATTTTAGGACTTTTCTTAGGACAAAACCTCACATGCTCAAACTTTGGGCTTCATTCATGAAACGCAAGCAGAATAATTTAGTGTAAATTATGCATAAAACCATTCTTAAGTAAATTGTCGCATTCAAATCAGTGCAATCATTTACATAATGAACGAATTAAACCAAAATTTGTACATGGATCATGAAACCATTCTCACATAAATGTTGCATTCAGAAAACATTCTTGCGTAAATTGTCAAATAGACATTTCCTCGGTGTCTATAACATCACAACTTTAATTGTTGAATTAGAATTGAATGTCGCGTTTTACATTAGAGCAGTTATTGAACAATTTACAAATAATCTACGAACAATTATTTTTGTTTGCTCATGAATTCTCATGAATGTTTCATGGATTATTTTCAGTGTCTTACATCATGTTTAAATGTTTCATCTCTGGAGAGAAATGAAGATATCTTGTCCTCAAACGCTGGTAGCATTAAAAGTCTGAATATGCATTGGAGATCTCCACATGGACATACCGACTTCTTGCAGATCTCGACCATCTTAATTCAGTCTGAATCGAGTGACGTTGATGTTTGGTGCTTCAGAAACTCCTCAAACGTGAGACTTTGTGAGAACGGAGATGTACGTTCCTCTTCCTCAGGACCCTGAAGCCTGTTTTGGGGGCCCTAAAGATTCATCATGAAGGAGTTTAATGCCAAGTGACTCAGATTTTTGTACTTTGAGAGATATATAAATATATGACAAACTGCAAATGTTTGCTTACGTGAATACTTTGTACACTCTCAAAAAGGAAAGTTTTTATATATATATTCATCTTTCAGTTGGTTTTTATATGAAGACGACACATTGCTTTGTAAACATTTTCCATGTAAGTTATGAACGGTTACATTTTCTGCGTTGTTTTCACTGTGCTGTTTAGCCAATCCCTTCTCCCAAAGAAAGAGCGAAAGAAAATATCAGCGACAAACTCTGCCTTGCTCGTGTAGTTTTTCACATCATGAATGTCAATGTGGCTGTAACAAGGTCTGCTTATGAATACAGTTGTTGTTTGTGTTTACAATAACGAGGGATGATTAAAAAACAAAGACACCGAACTATGTTATATGGTCGGTGTACCGTCAACTGTCATTTGCACTTTTTATATTTTGGATTTGAAATGAATCGCTGATGCCATGTGAAATATGAACCTATTTTATGTAACAATGTTGTTCAAGTAAACGACTGGTTTCAAAGACATTTAACTGTTGTTTATTTTGTTGCATTATTAAACAAGACACATTTGCATTTGGTTTTTGCTGGAAAACATTGCTTATGTTTCAGATACTTGTGGTTTTCGGTTCAATGGTTATTGAAGAAAAACTGGAATTACTATTTATTGTAATTATTTTACAATGTAGCTCATTACTTTCCACAAATTATCAAAGCTGATTTTGTACTCCGCTCATTTCAGACATCTAGAAGATCATTGATGGATAAAATAAACCAATGAGAAAGTTATGGCCTAATCAAAATGGACCGAATACAAAGCCTTGTGGGACACCGCTGGCTAAAAACAAAGAACATGGGACTAAAGTCTGAAAAAGTGTTGAATTTACGTAATTTTATCATCAGTTCCACATGAATCTAACAATTCGTTTACGTAACTTCATGGAAGTTATTTTTAATGATTCAATTAAGGGGTCTTAATGTGTTATGATTTATTAATTTTCATAGTTTTGTCAACACTAAATTGTAATATTGTATTAACTAATTATTAGCAAATATTAGCAAACTCAACACTAAGCATTAAATCAATGCCTTTGAGTAAAGCAGGTTTCTAAATCACAACAACTGAACATTAAACACGATAAAGTCACCCCTCATTTTGCTTAAAAACATTAAAGTATACTTAAAATACATAGCAAAATGTTTGAAATTAAGTCCCATGTGAAGCATGCTGGGAGCTAGTTTTAGTAGTCAACAAAACTCAAGTGCTGTTGAACCTACTTGATTATTTCACATTCGGCCACATAATTTAATCTAGTAGATTTCACAATTTAGAGAATGACATGAATCAAGTTTGGAAGAGAAATGAGTCGTGTGTAGATCAAAAACAATGACAGCAAATTGGACAATCTATTTTTTCCCATTTTTATCCCATATACAACTTACTAAAAGACATCTGAAATTTCTTGTGTTTGATATGATCATGTGACTGAGAATTACACTTGAAATGCACTGCTTTTGCTTTGATACCATAAACACAAATGCCAAAATTTGTTAATCAGAAACATTTTATTTGCTCAAACTTACACTGTTGGAAAATATCTTACCATCTCATTTGACAAAATTATGTAACTCCTTCCAGCAAGTGGCATTTTATGTGGCACATTTTATTGCAAACCAGTTTATACATTTGTTTCAAAAGTTAGGACTTTCTGAGGCAAAAAAAAATCAACCACGTAAATTTAAATCTTGAGTACTAATAAAACTATTTTGATTTGACTGTTTACAATCAGTAGCCTAAAATAAGCTTGTACACATGAGAGGAAAAAACAATGCTCTACATGGTTATAAAAAAACAAACCCAATGCAAAAAGCTACATCCCACCTTCAGTCTTACGATTAAGACAATAACAGTAATGTTCTCAGTGTTCGTCAAGATTCTAATTATGCAAACATGGCCCCATGGAATTCTGGGCACATATTATTT